TTATAATGACTTATCTAATAATTTATTGTTTTTAATACGATTTGTTTCAACTAGCAACACCAATGCTATAGTTAATGATTATTATTGACATTCCTCTGTTGTGATAAATCAGTACTGTACTGTAAGTAGCCTATCGCTAGCAGTAGCTTACAAAACTTTCTACTGTTTTGTTTTGTTCTTTACATGGTTTATAACTACGCAATACGTTTGGCTAGGTTTTAGGAGGGTTAGAACAAGTTGTGATTTTTAACTTACAATTTTTAACTTGTACCAAGGTCAATGCCATTGTCATGATTGCGCAATATTCAAGATCCCTTCCCTTTATTTTGCCGGATAATTTAGGTTCTACTGTACAATGTAAACACTGTACTGTAAAGTATTGTAGCGTAGCCTATGCTACTTTAATTGTATTTTAATGAGGTCAAATCCCGACCTATATTGACCGACGCTGGTTCTGAACCTCGACTTAGCGAAATTCCTGCAAACCTAACCTCTATATAACGAGCCTCATTTTAACGAAATCCTTGATATAACGAATATTCAGTTCGGTCCCTTCAGATTCGTTATACTGAGGTTGGACTGTACCTCAATCTAATGGTCATAAACAGTTCCCACACTCCGGGCTGCTCGCATTTACTACTTCCTTCACCACTTCCTACGTCAAGGACCTGTTTAACTTACCTCCCTTCCCATAGCATTTTATGATTGCAGATACCTTAATCTAATCGTAATAAACAGTTCCCATTCTCCGGACTTCTCGCCTTTACTACTTCCTTCGCCACTTCCTACCCCACGGACCTGTTTCCCTCCCGTTCCATGGTATTTAATGAATGCAGATACCTTAATCTAATCGTCATAAACAGTTCCCACACGCCGGGATGCTCGCCTTTACTAATTCCTTCACCACTTCCTACGTCGCGGACCTGTTTCCCTCCCTTTCCATAGCATCATAGGATTGCAAATACCTAAATCTAATGGTCATAAACAGTTCCCACACTGCTCGTAAACAGTTCCCACACTCCAGGCTGCTCGCATTTACTACTTCCTTCACCACTTCCTACGTCAAGGACCTGTTTACCTCCCTTCCCATAGCATTTTATGATTGCAGATACCTTAATCTAATCGTCATAAACAGTTTCCACACTCCGGACTGCTCGCATTTACTACTTTTTTTACCACTTCCTACGTCACGGACCTTTTTACCTCCCTTCCAATAGCATTTTAGGATTGCAGATACCTTAATCTAATCGATATAAACAGTTCCCACACTCCGGACAGCTTGCCTTGATTACTTCATTCATCACTTCCTACGTCGCGGACCCGTTTTACTCCCTTCCCATAGCATTTTATGATTGCAGATACCTTAATCTAATCGTCATAAACAGTTTCCACACTCCGGGACGCTCGCCTTTACTACTTCCTTCACCACTTCCTACGTCAAGGACCTGTTTCCCTCCCTTTCCATAGCATCATAGGATTGCAAATACCTAAATCTAATGGTCATAAACAGTTCCCACACTGCTCGTAAACAGTTCCCACACTCCGGGCTGCTCGCATTTACTACTTCCTTCACCACTTCCTACGTCAAGGACCTGTTTACCTCCCTTCCCATAGCATTTTATGATTGCAGATACCTTAATCTAATCGTAATAAACAGTTCCCATACTCCGGACAGCTTACCTTGACCTTCCTTCATCACTTCCTACGTCGCGGACCCATTATCCTCCCTTCCCATAGCATTTTATGATTGCAGATACCTTAATCTAATCGTCATAAACAGTTTCCACACTCCGGACTGCTCGCATTTACTACTTTTTTTACCACTTCCTACGTCACGGACCTTTTTACCTCCCTTCCAATAGCATTTTAGGATTGCAGATACCTTAATCTAATCGTTATAAACAGTTCCCACACTCCGGACAGCTTGCCTTGATTACTTCATTCATCACTTCCTACGTCGCGGACCCGTTTTACTCCCTTCCCATAGCATTTTATGATTGCAGATACCTTAATCTAATCGTCATAAACAGTTTCCACACTCCGGGACGCTCGCCTTTACTACTTCCTTCACCACTTCCTACGTCAAGGACCTGTTTCCCTCCCTTTCCATAGCATTTTATGATTGCAGATACCTTAATCTAATCGTCATAAACAGTTCCCACACGCCGGACAGCTTGCCTTTACTACTTCCTTCACCACTTCCTACGTGACGGATCTGTTTACCTCCCTTCCAATAGCATTTTATGATTGCAGATACCTTAATCTAATCGTCATAAATAGTTCCCACACTCCCGACTGTTCGTATTTACTACTTCCTTTACCACTTCCTACGTCACAGACCTTTTTACCTCCCTTCCAATAGCATTTTAGGATTGCAGATACCTTAATCTAATCGTTATAAACAGTTCCCACACTCCGGACAGCTTGCCTTGATTACTTCCTTCATCACTTCCTACGTCGCGGACCCGTTTTCCTCCCTTCCCATAGCATTTTATGATTGCAGATATCTTAATTTAATCTTCATAAACAGTTCCCACACTCCGGACAGCTTGCCTTGACTACTTTCTTCATCACTTCCTACGTCGCGGACCCGTTTTCATCCCTTCCCTTATAATTTTTGGAATGCAGATACCTAAATCTAATCGTTATAAACAGTTTGCACACTCCAGACTGCTCAACTTTAGTACTTCCTTCACCAGTACGTCACGGACCTCAAGCTAGTGTCGTCATTTGATTATATTTATTATTCATACCGTTTCTGTTCTAATGTCTGTGGAATAATGCTATCAGCTATTTCTTTATCTACTGCATTCAAAAGTAAACAGCTGATCATATGTCTTTGTTTATGTGTCAAATACTGCTTCCATAAGGATTACATTGAAACTTTGAGACCCAGTGGGGCGGATTCCTGAGAGTTATTTTTAACGCCATATAGATATTGGCACTCACCGATATGGTCTTTATCACCATCCAAAATTTGAAAACGATTGATTCAGCCGTCTAGGAGGAGTTTGCGTATTACGAAATGCATAAAAGTCGACGTATAAGAGCTTCGCTCGCTTCGCTCGCTCCGCTCAATAAAATCAAACAATATCAAATTATTTACAGTATCACGGTTACTACTTTTAAACTGTAATGGAGATAAGATAGCTGTAATGGTCAAAGCATGTATTATTACGTCATATTTTTTGGCCATCTGTATATAATTGCAATGTGAAATGTAAAATGGTGTTTGCCATATAGAAATAAATAAACCACTCTTGTTATGACTCAATGTTAACGTCTTAAGGACCTTTCATTTTATGCTTTTGTTAGTGGGGACTGGTTAAAACACCACAGTACAGTAGGTTTTGCAAATATGATTGTGAGATGATATATAATCTGAACTATTTTATGCATGTTGATAATAATATGTATTTTAATTTAAGTACTTTAATTGATTCGGTTATATGTTTACCTCATATAACATTGGAACATGGATTGAAACATTAGATGTCTTTGGAATACTCTGAGAGTGAGAGGCAAAACATAACTTTCAGCAATGATGCATCGAAATCTACCTTTACTGAGTGATTCAGAAATGTAGGCCTAATTGTAAAGTATTTTGTCAACATGACTAGAATGTTAATAAAATAGATGTATCAGCACAAAATTGTTTTTAAGATAAAAAATTGCAGCATAGGACAACTTATATAGTGTTCTAACCTAAAACATTGTTATTGTTTCAATGTAAAAATTCAATTGATACAAAATAACTACGATACCAATTTATGTTTGTAAACAAAAATAATTTTTTTAATTGTGTCATAAAACCAATTTAAATAATAATTTACTACTCAAAATATTTGTAATGTAAAACATTGTTCACCACTCGGAGCAAAAGTATATTATTTATGGTACTTAAATTGTTTTATAGTACGTGGCAGTACAGTATTATTAGTTTATTAGTTGCTTGTTGCACTGTTCTACACACTGCTGAAGCGCTACAACTCATTAAGTGGCATCCTGTACACACACTGTTGATATATACTGAATTGCGGCATGGTGCCACTATTTAGAGTGTAGGCTGGCGCGAGAATTGGCAACATAGCATTAGGGAAGTTATAGTTCCAGCGGACGGCGCGAGGCGCGCTAGCTACCGGTATGGTTTGTGTTCCACAATTCGGCGTGTACCTGCGCTACTTAAACTCACATCAACGAGTTCAAAAATACTCAATTGTGGCATGTGATGTTTAAACGACGTAATAATGCTGGAAACCCCAAAAAATGATCGAATTAGCTATGGCACCCTGAAAAAGGTGCCACAATTTTTTAAGGTGCCACAGTACGGCCGTGTGCCTGTGAAGGATGCCACTATTCGGTGAATACAGACACACACACACACATGCGCACACACACATACAGACAGACTTCTCTTTGAAAACCACATTTTTGGGTTCAGGGGGGCCCAAAACGGAAATATCCACTCAGAACTAAAACTTGAAAATGTTGACAAAAACAATAGGTACTTTTTGATGCCACAATTAATTGTAGCCAAATGCGTATTGGTGACTACTAGACAACAACAAGAGCAAAAAGGCATCTTACAACAATAAAAATTTCCTTGTTTGCCATAGTTTTTAAGTGAGTTGCTTTAGTCTATAAATCTAATCCTATAACATGCATATTTTGCCACAGAGGCAACATTTCAGGGATCTTTGCTTATCTATGTCACTGTCTATAACTAGTATTTATATGTACCCTTTACAAAGCGATTACAGTAACTCACTGGGAAATAAAATCAACCCACACCTCAATTTTAAGGATATAAACATTCAGCAACGTACTTAAATTTTATTCTCAAAAGCTTGGCTAAAGGGTAGGCAAAAAGTGTACTGCCAGGTTCAGTCAAAAAGTTACCAAAAACGATTTGTTTAAGAACTGGTTGTTTGGCCCTAACTGTAATAATAGATATTTACAAAATAATCGTAACTATATACAGTATAATATTATTTTCTCAGATGGGGCTCGTATAGAAGAAGTGGCAGCAGAGGACGAGCCCCCAGTCTATGAAGCACCACCGGACTATGAGGAAGTCATCAAACGGAAAGGTTCTCAGAAGAGAAAAAAGATAAAGAACCGAAGACCAAGATCTACTTCAGCACCCAGAACGTAAGTACAGTGTTGAGAGGATGATAGTGGAAAACTTAAATATACAAATACAAAACAGTAAAATACTGTAATATGAGGCCGGTTTTTAGTAAAGTTCCGTTTTTGCGTATACATCCGTAGTTCCCTTGTATACCACAACGAGGATCCTTGAACTACTTACTGGCATCATTGTGAACAGAATAACACTATATGTAACTCTGTAGCTGACATGCACACTTCGCTGTGTGTTTTGAAAATTTGTTAAACTGTGGAATCTCCCGCCGCATACGAGATAAGGTCAGTATGTTACTTTTTCACCACAAAAAAATATCCGATGTTGACATTCATTGCCAGATGACTGAAGTTTATGTCCCTGATGCAATGATAGCGGGGAAAGTACAGAAACAGGCTAGGGAGTTTAAAATGTGTATTTCGGAAGGAATTGTGTTTTTGGTGAAAACCCGGACTTCTCACAGAAGACTACAAAGCAAAAAGGATTTCACTGCCATTTTTACTCTCCATACCCATTACTCTACTTAACCACCCTAACTCATTGTATTAGGGCCATAGCCTTCAGTCATCTGGCAATGAATGTGGGCACTGGATATGTTTCTTGTACAGGCACTACCGAAAAAAAAGGCACTACTGACCTTATCTCGCATACGGCGGGAGATTCGATATTTAAACAGTTTTTTAAAAACACACAGCGAAGCGTACATGTTAGCTACAGATCTATGAATGGTGTGATTCTGTTTAAAAATTAAGCCAGTAATTGGCAAGGAGCCTCGTTGTGGCATACAAGCAATTATGGTTGTATACGCAAAAACTGCCCTTAATTACAAACCGCCCTCGTAATTGGATTGAATCTTGTATTCAAATTCACATTTTGTGTTTTCTTAAGTTTGAATTCTTGGGATAACTCTTTCAATACATCTACACCAGTTATATAGTTGACAGCGAGACAAAGAGTAATCAACTGATATTCTAAAGTAAATTAGAAAAAAAACCTATAAGTTGATAACACATTTGGAAGAGTAGGTTGTAGTAAGCTGTCAAAAATGTAAGCCACATCCTCACCAGCTAAATTAATTAGTAGTGCAGTTTTCCTTACACCAACAGCTATGTCCACACTCTTGTGCTTTTGTGTGTGCTAAGCGCATGCTTCTTAACACATGCCCTGACGCTGAGGGATGCAAGTAACGCATGCGCCAATGCATGCCCGAAATGAGCCGGAAGGAGCTCTATTCCATAGCGCACAGCGTAGCGCAAAATGATCCACTAGCCCTTGATTTCTGAGTGTTTCAATTTAACTGCTTTACATATTTGACAAGTCTTGCGTTGTTACATATTAAATAAAAGATTTGTAAAATAAAATAGGTGTATTCTGAAATGAAACCTAAATAACAATGAATGTAAACAAAAACAAAGTAAACTTATTAAACATAACATATGGTATTTTTTTAAACATACAGTATGTTAGAAAAGACACATCAATCTTCCCCCTTTAAAGTCTTGACCGCAGCATTTGATCTATATGTCGTCTGCATGTTACTCCGTTCTCCAGTTCAACGTTGTAATTTTGATTTCCATCTCTTGATGTAACTTTTCCAAAACTCCATTTTCTCTGACCCTTGTAGTAGTTTCTCACTTGAACATGGTCTCCGACCTTTAATATGCATGTTACACCTTTAGGTTTGTCTTTTGAGTGCTCGATTCTAGAAGGTATCATAACACTGAGGTATGTTCTTACTAGTCTGTTGAATATGAGATAATATGCCAAGTTTCCTCAAGTGTTCCTGGTTCATCTAATATCGACTTCAACATCTTCTTTACTGTTTGTACAAAGCGTTCAGCTTGTCCATTAGATGATGGGAGCAGTCGTTTTGTGTTGAGTTCCACATGACTTAAGAAACTCTTGAAAAGTAAGAGAAGTGAAACTTCGTCCATATTGTCTGAAATTAGGAGTCTTGGAAGACCAAAAGTACTAAAAAGTTTCTTCAACTCCTTAATAGTCCAGTCGGTAGTTGCTGTTTTTGTAGGTATTACCTCTACCCATTTGGAAAAGGCATCAACAACAATGAAAAATTGTTGTCCATTTGTTGGGCCCATGAAATCTATATGTATTCTCTCCCATGGCTGAGTTGCTGGTTCCCAAGGATGATTTATCTCTTTTGTTGGAGAATTTTGTTTCTCCCGACAAGGCTTGCAAACAGCAATCATGTTTTCAATGTCTTTATCCATTCCTCTCCAAAAGCAGTAACTTCTTGCCAAAGCTTTGGTTTTAGCGAATTTCCCATATAGGGAATAAGCTATTACTGTAGTGGAGTGAAAATTTAAAAACGTACGTTTTCATGTCCCTGGCCTTTTACTTCGTAGATACTGGATTTGTAGTTTATTATTATGTGTTTTAATATTTTTTGGGACGAGGGCAAATACATGTTACACACATTTATTTGGTTTTAAGTAGGTTCTAGGTATTTTTTTCGTATTTTTAAAGTCTCGAAATTCACGACCATGACGTGTCCCTAGGCTACATTTTCCAACTTTCACGCTGTTTTTAGACTAATTATTCATGCCGAAATATATAAAGCCACATTTTTATGTCATCAATGGTTATTAAACTTACAAAAAAGGAGCATATTATAATTTTATTGTCATTGCAAACTGACTACCATGACAAAATAAGTCTGTCCCTCGATTTGGCGTCACGACGATTTGGGAAAAATTTTCAACTTTGGAACACGACAGTGGCAAGCCTGGTGGCGATGGAGTCAGTTGGTTTGAGAGACTAGTTCGGGTGTACGTCAGGATTGTAGTGCCGGTCGTTTCGAGTTGAAAGGAGGAATTACAAGATTAATAAAGGAAAGATTGTGTTTTTTGTAATTTTGGTGTGTCCATGACCGTACGTTGTCATTCGATGAAGTAGACATGGTGTTAATTTTTGTTTATAAGGTATTTTAATTGCTAGATTAACCTAGAAGACCACTTTGTATCCTTGAACATGAGGTGCAGGGCTACCGCCAGAACAGAGCCAAATAACACGTAATTTCACGACCAAAGTTTCACGACCATCGCGGGTTTTTTCACGACCAATCCAGCCTTATGGATTATAGTGTGTTTGGTCGTGACAACAACTTAAATATAATTGTAAATTGAACAGTTTAGTTCAATTGAAACACATATTTTTATTATAACTAACAGTATAATTGAAGGATTGTTTAGAAAGATTTAGATTATTCCAGACAATTCACGTTTTCAAAAATTAAAATATCCTCATATTTCAATGTTTTATACACAAAAGAAGCACACCTCTATACAAACATAACGATTTTTCGGGTCTCAGGTAAGTTTTTTCGTAGTTATACAAACTTAAAAAGATTTTATTGGCTTTTTTTCAATTTTTTGAGGTTTTTTATTTTTTTCTGGAAAGACCAAATATACCAAAAGCTTAGTGACATTTTTATTGTATAATGGCCATAAAAGTAAATTAGTTTATAGCAAAACATAGTTATAAAAATAATATGAACCATTTTTAATATTCATTTAAACGTCCGTTATGGTCGTGACAGGATTTTGTGTTTTTCCACTAAAGATGCTCTTTAAAAAAAAAAACTACCAAAGATATTGCGTTACCATGGATATTTTATGAAACTTCAAATGTTAATGAAATAAAAAAAATAATATAATTTATAAATAAAAAACTTTTTTAAACAAAACGTTTTTAAACGCCCTAAAAAATAGAAAATAATTTATAAATATGTTGAGAGAGTATAAATACTTGTATGATTTAAAACGAAAAACGCGGGGTGCATGCAATAGATAGTTTACAATTACCTTCACCTACTGAACTAATGTATTATTATCAATTAATTGCATGCACCAAACGTTTTTCGTTTTAAATCATACAAGTATTTATACTCTCTCAACATATTTATAAATTATTTTCTATTTTTTAGGGCGTTTAAAAACGTTTTTTTTTAAGTTTTTTATTTATAAATTATTTTACACTTTTTAGTTTTAATGTGTGTGCATGTTAAATCTATTTCAAGCATCTATATCAGATTAAGACAGAGGCATGTGGGAAATCTAAGGTTTATTTGAGTTTCTTTGCATATAATTATGTATTAGATTGCATGTATGGCCTACCTTTAACTATAGTTTGTTATGGAATTTCTCTGCAATGCATTCAGTCGAAATATTTATTGTTTACTTTATAGAATACTAAATAAACAAAAATTGACATTATTTACAAACACCTTGATACCTGCAATCAGATTGTTTATCTTTATTTTGAAATGTTTGTTTGTATAAAGAATCTCTTGGGAGCATAACCTGTACCTCTTAACCTCTGCTCTTCGAACTGTCAAATTTAAGTATTTACAGCTGACTTAAATTAGTTGATATATTTACATCCTTTCAAAATGTAAACATGAAAAATTTGGAAGCCCATGGGGCGTAGCCCAAGGGAGATATGAAAATTAAATGATATAATATTGCATTATCATGCATTTGTGAGCCATGTTTCAAATTTCAAGTCTCTAGCTTATCGGGAACATCGTTTAAAATTGATATCAAAATTTGTAGGAAAGCGAGCTAATAAAAACAAGCCCATGGGGCGTAGCCCGAAAGGAAATATGAAAGTTAAATTATATAATATTGCAATGTCATCCATTTGTGAGCTATGTTTCAAATTTCAAGTCTCTAGCTCATCGGGAAGTATCAAAATTTGCAAGAAATCGATTTAATAAAAACAAGCCCATGGGGCGTAGCCCAAGGGAAATATGAAAATTAAATTGTATAATATTGCATTGTCTTCCATTTGTGAGATATGTTTCAAGTTTCAAGTCCCTAGCTCATAGGGAAGTTAGTATAAAATCAGTTGCAAAATTTGTAGCGGACAAGAAAGCGACCTAATAAAAACGTTTTAAAAAGTTTTGAAAAAAGGGGAAAAAATTTGCAAAGTGCTTTTCCTGAAAACGTACGTTTTTAAATTTTCACTCAGTACTCATGGTGAGACCTGG